GGTGTAGAAGTGCTTGAAGCATCTATTGTACCAGGAAAGGTGGGGAGGGACTGAGGTGGGTGAAAATTAAAAGAAAAACAAACAGTGGAGGTGAGAGAGACAGAGAGAGAGTGAACACTTGAAATATCCTTGTGACAACATCAGCTAATGATAAAGCTGTGTAAGGCCAGAGGGGAGGTTATAGTGGGATTGCTATGACAACCGGAGCTCGGCGGCAGGTGAGAATGACGAAAAGGACGCCACAGGAGGGCAACCTCAGCATCGCTCTTCCCTGCTGGATGTTTGTATAAATTATTACTATTTTTAGTCCTGATAAGTATCACCCAAGTCCAACATTATCTCAGCTATTTAAGAGCACCCTTGAATGTGGGGGGCGGGGGACAAATCCACACTGAAATGAATCTTGTGTGTTCCTGATGGAGGACAAAATGAGTCAAAAGTAGCTGAGAGAAGAAGGCATAGGGTGTGAAATCGGGGACAAATATTGTATAAGCCATGGATGATTGAAATCCAGAATACTGCTGTCAGGCAGAGTGAAGCAGCCTCTGCTGTAGTACCTAATGGGTGCTGATGAATTAAGAAGTTAAGAGCGGGGGAAAGAGAGACGGAGAGAAAGTAAAATGCCAGGAGATGGAGAGATAAAAGAGGATGGAGGGCCTCTTCATGATGAGAGTGATGAATAATATATGATCAGCCTGCTCATGACTTACACAGCACACTGGAACGTCCGTCATGTCCAGCTGGTTTACAGGCTCAGAGAAGGGATACATCAGCCTGCCTTGTGTAGCCTGTCCACCTCAGCTAGAAGCCTAACCCTGTCACAGTGAATATTTATCAGGTTTTGTATGTTTCTGTGTGTGTTAGTGTGTGTGTTTTCTTAGGTGAGAGTTTTTACAGTGCAAGTGTTTAAGAGCTTACTGACAGAAAAATGTTTTATTTTCAGTGATCAAAATGTCATCATAACACTTCCATTGTGTGTGTGTGTGTGTGTGTGTGTGTGTGTGTGTGTGTGTGTGTGTGTGTGTGTGTGTGTGTGTGTGTGTGTTTTAAGATATATAAATATAATATAAAATGTTCTTCAGAGAAGTAAAACATGGGAAGGGGAGAAAGTAGATGCTGTTTTCGGCAGTCATGCTGTCGATAACGGTGCAGATGGTAAGAATTATGTTCCCCAGTAGACACTAAATCCAGCACAGAACATTTTTAATTATCTACTTTTAGCTTTATAGAGCCACTTCACAAGATTTAACTTCCAACTTGACATGACTAGCGACAGGCGATCCTTTAAAGGAGATTTTGTACAGATATTTGATTTCCTACTTTATATCTGAAGCAAGATATTGGTCTAAAAATGTTCAACATGAGAAGGCCATATGGAAGGACCTCAAACTCACTGTGAAGTTTGTTGGTGGAATATTAAAGGAGAACTAGGGTTACTAGGAGAAGGAGAACAGAAGTGTTTGGCTCATTTCCATCTCCATTTTTATTTTTCGCTACTAGTTCAGCTTCTGCATGATAAACATTTCAAAATAATCTTCATTCATCTTGTACTGGGAATTTGTGCAGCCGACTAGAAAGCACAGAAACCGTCTGAAACAAGCAGCTTTAAGCTCCTTTACCTTGTCTTTAAAGTTGTTTTCCTCTGATTAGCTGCACCTTGCAAATAAATGTAAACAGCTGGTGGGCGGGGCTCTTCTGTTCACAGCTAGTGCTGCCAAAGACACCTGCTTTCACTGACATGGGGAAAAAATAGCTTGAAACTGAGCATTTAGAGCAGTCTGAACTTTGCTGATCAGCTTAAATGAAACTTAGTTTATATAAACTCCTTCATTTACATAGTTTTCACCTCAGACAGATATTTATTTTTATTGACCTATTATTCCACTTATAGAAGCTTTTTTTTCCACAAAAATAATTCAGGAATCAAACCGGTCCTAGCCTAGTTTTAATCCTATCAGAGGCCTTTAAGTACAGCCATCATCATGAACCCTACAGAATAACTATGAACTTAAACTAAGCGAATTCCAAACTTAAATGTAACTATAACCACAGCAGTTACAAAAATATAACATTTTAAAATAAAATTAATATGTACAATATTCTCACTGTCATGTTTTCCTCTTCAGAATAGGTGATCCAAACACAGCAACAATATAAACAGCTTAATGTGCCAGAATGAAATCTCCCTTCCGCTTCACCCTTCTACCAGCAAACTCAAAATGCAGCAACATAAAATGCTGTCACGTTTTTAAAAACAATTATAAATAAATATTCTGGTACAATATATTCCAAAAACTGCTTTGATGATGACTTTTTTTCTGCTTTCCTGCAGAGCACTGCCTCTCTTTCACACCCACATCTGCAAATCTCTGTACAGGAGGAAGGCAACCCTGTTTAATTTAGTCAGCAGCAGGCTGTCAGAGTTTGAGAGTCAACAAATATGAGAAAATAACTCAGCTCTGTAATGTGTTCTACAGCATCATGGACCGCAGGTGTTAGAACCTGTGAAGGACGGTCAGATTAGGGATTGGCTTTTCACACAGGATTGTGGCTGCTCCTCTTTATCAGCTGATCAAAGCGTTCATACCAATACTTGCAAAGCTAGCTAACCATACAGGCACTTCAGAGACCATTTCATATCAAGGCCTTCTAACAGCAAATGTGCAATTGCAACCGTGGTGCATGGCTGCAATTTAACAAGTGGAATTAAAAAGCCGCATGTCTCATATTGTAGGTAATGTAGATGTAATGCAGGGAGTGCAGTAGGAATGCTTCCAGGATTTTTTTTTAAATTTTCATATAAAATCACTCTTTTATTTCGTTAGTGGTAGTTTTCAGGTGGAAACATCAGTGTTTTGCTGTGTGACTATATTTTTCAATAGGTCTAATTGAGCAAAAAGATACTGCACTTGACATAATGAGATGATTGCTGTCATGTGCATAATAACTATGCATAATAACTTTCTGTCTACTACATTTAAGAAAAATAATGCTAAAGATTGGGTCAAGCTGGTGTTTTGCCTCAGGGCTTGTATATTTCACTGAGCAGGAAGCTGTTCATATGCAGAGATGGAACTTGCTGAGCAAGTAGCTCTGAGGAGACAATGACCACTTGTGCCACTGTTTTCTAATAAAGCGACAGCTGCGGTTTTAGTGTTGGCTCTGCAGCTGACCATATTGTAGAAAGAATTATCAAGGCACTTAGTCTAAAAATGATGCGCATTTTCATTTTCCAAGTTTCACACTCATGTTCTTAGAAGAAATTGTCAGTTGTCCCGAAGGAGTTTAAGGAAACCCAGTTTGTCCTGGCTGTCCTCTTTCCTTCTCTCCATCTCAGCTGTGCGAGCTCATCGACCCAGAAACCCTTCAGCACATTCTGTGGCACAATAGATCTGCCCTCGCTTCAGTGGAAACTGGCCATCTGAGGTTATTAGAGGAGGGGCTGGGGAGGAATGTCAATGACAGCGTGACTTGGATGCAGAAATATAAGACAACCTTAGAAGGCAGTGAACACAGGTTTTCTTACTGTACAAGAAAGACAAAAACATGTCACTGCAATCATGTAAATGCTTCATTTGCATTTACAGTATGTGTACTAATGCAGAAACCTACATATGCCTCATTGCAACCTTCAAAGCAATACCCAAAGGCACTATACATTCAGAGCTATTAGAGCAGAAAGTTGGAACCTCGAGGTCCAAGGATAACAGGTAAGAGGTAAGGTCTAGAGATTAATGTCTGCAGTAATGAATATCACTTTTCTTCATCTGCCATGAACCTCCAGTACATAGTGAACCAATTCTACAATAAGCATTTATCATTAAACCATTTTAAACATTGCACAAATCCAGCAGTGCTACTGGTGCTAAAAGACTCTTCCTGAGGGAACAATAAAGAACAATGCCCGCTGGAGAAAATGAGCCACATTTAGTGAGGCAAGTCACAAAGAACGATAATAAATCCCTGCCAAAATCTTGCACTGGACACAGAGCCTGAGAACACAGATCATTCCACTAAGAAGCATCGCATACCACACTGTAAGTGATCACTGCCTTTCATCTCTCTTTAGTTTGTCAGCAAGAATATCCAAAAACTATCAGGTCAAATTTATGACACTTGGCAGAAAGGTCGAGCATGACCAAGGAAAAAGCTCATTAAAATTTGGTTTAGATCTGGGCAACATTTTATATATTCATCAAGATCGTCTAGTCAGAGACATAATATGCCAACATGCAGAAGAAACTGATTTAAAAACCAATTTGTCCCAACTGACAGTGGCCTGTTATGTAACTCAGTGTGAGTGTAATGCTGCATGGTGAACTTCTGGTTAGCAGAGTTACCTCATAGCAAGAAGATTCAAGAGCAAAGTCTGTGTGAAGTTTGCATACTCTCCAGGTCCTTTGTTTTCCTCGCACGGTCCAAAGATGTGCATGGGAGGTTCACTGGTGATTCTAAATTGGCTGTCAGTGAATGGTTGTCTGCCTTTCTGTGTTAGCCCCGTGATAAACCGGCGACCTGTTAGGGATATGCCTGGAAGAAAATGGGTGGATTTTAATGTATGTTTCATACTGACCTTTTCAATCTCACTGTGCTTTTTATAACTGCTTGCTTGATGGTTGTGTGATTTCTGCTGTGCAAAAATGCCAACAAAGGCCAGAGATCAACCTTTACTATGAAAAGACTAATTTTTGAGATATTTTTGCCCAGAAAAACAAAACAAAACATCAGTATGGATTTGCAAAACATATTTGGCCTTTTTAATTATTTT